GCCTTTTTTTAAAAGAAGGGTCTTACTGTGACACAAACATCAAAAACTCTGTCGGACACCATCGGGACACCACCTACACTAAATCGGGACACCGTCGGGGCACCATAAGAACAGACATCCCTGGGACACCTTCGGGGCACCATGAGTCTGGGCACCGTCGGGGCACCATCGGGCCACCGCCTACATCAAATCGGACAAAAAAAGGCAGACGGCACTGGCGTGAGCGAGAAGACGCTCAAGAAGAGGATCCACTCTAGGGTTTGGCGCGCTGAGACTACGAAGTGCAAGAGCTTGGGGGTTGTAGGTGGAGAACTCTACTCTCGCCGCTCTGCCGCCGCTGCCTTGGCTCTGAAGAAAGCAGGCTTTTAGGGAATCCAGTTTTTCCTCATCGTGCGGCTTGGGAGCCCGTGCGAAGTGCGAATGTGTGTCATTCGTTTGCAGTCAGTCGGAAATAAGACAAGGGCTTCGTTCGCAGTCATTTGGAATGTGTGCCATTCGTTTGCAGTCGTTCGTTTGCAGTCAGTCAGTCCAGGGCTTGGCCGCGCTCGGGCTTGCGCCACGATTCCGCCGACCCTATGCTATGCTATGCTGTGTTATGCCGACGCGAAACTATGCTATGCTATTTTGTGCAATGCTATGCTATGCTGTGGTTACTTGAAAAATGTGCGGGGGTTGATGGTAACATATATTTCCATGCCCCGTATCCTAACTATATTTCTAGGCGCGGCGTGGCCCGTGGCCAGAGCAGCGCATGCGAGTATCATGCGTATGCGTGTGTCTGCTCAAGCGCTTAATGCAATGTGCAACGACATACATATACATGCACATGATACATCAATGAAATTCTTATAATACATTCAAGAAAATGCAAGCTCTTGAACATGTTCTTCAACACTAATAGATAAGAACTCCTTCTAAAACAAGGTTCAAAGTGAGTGTCTGGGTGGGCTGGGGGGCAGCATTTGCCGCCTTCCATCCGTCGGCCGCGCCGGCCGAGCTGCGACGCCCGACAGGGGCCGACCCTGCACCTCCCGCGGCGCCTGCGCGAGGGCATGGGGGGCATTCCGCCGGAGTCCTCGGCCTCCTCGTGGCCCTGGAGTTCGCCCTCGTCGCGCCGCAGCGCCGCGCGGCAGCGCCCGCGCGCGGCCCCGCCCGCGCAAAGCAACGCGTTGGTCAGCTTGGCGCATGCTAGCCCACTGTGGATACACTACCCATCCGCGAGGTGCGCAGATTAGTTGGAAATCCGCTTCCCACGCGGCATCTCGCAAATGAGAACCGGAGGGCGCGCCCATGCGCTGGGGCGCTGCACCGCGCCCCGCGCGGCGCAGTGTCTTTGTGCATGGCCGCCGCGTCCTCAGCGCTGGCGCCGGCGCCCATCTGGCGCCATCCCATGCCATTTGTTTGATTTGCAGCGCGGGGCGCTCATGGCGGTGACACGGAGCGCCTTCGCGAGCGAGCTGATGGCTGCGATCTCATTGGCCGATCGCGGCGCGGCGCCCGCCGCCGCGCTCCGCGAGGTCGCCGGGGACTCGCGCGCCGCGCGCGCCGCGCCGCGCAGGCAAGACGGGTTTACGGCTTCGACTTTGCCGCCCGAGCCCCGCTTGAAGTTGCTGGGGGTCGTTGCCGCGGCGACGGCCGCCGGCGTCGCGCGCCCGAGCGAGCACTTGCCGCTGCGGCGCTTACTGCGGCTTAGCGACCTCTTGTGCTCGGGCCAGCTATGGGTCTGGAGCTGGGAGGGCCCCTTCGACATGATCGCGCGCGGGCTCGCGAAGGGCTGCGTTGACCGCGCGGCGCCCCGTTCCGTCTCCAGCGGGGGCCGCGGGAGAGACCGCCCCCCGCGCTGCGTCGCCCATGTTGCCAGCGCGAGCCTGAGGAGAGATGTGGTCGGCAGCGCCCCCAGTGGCCGTCGACCACCGTGCCCCAGTTCGGTCTGGCCAACGCAACCTCCCCTTCCCCTTCCTTGCCTGGACGCCCCATGTGCGTTCTCGCGTTGGTCAGGGTAGACGAGCCCATTGTTGCTCATATCGCGTTGACTGGACGGGGATGTTCGGTGCGGCGGGTGCTGGGGAGGCGCGCGCAGTTGTGCGCGTGTGTAGCGCGTGCATGCGTGGTTGCGCATGGGATATTCGCGGCCGCTTGCCCGTGCATCAGAGCGCTGGCCGCCCGCGGCGTCGGCGCCTGCGCGCTGGCCCGCGCCAGCCAGGCCCTCGCGGGGCCAGCGCGCGCGCGACCAGGTCGCGCGCGCGGCCACGGCTCCGCAGGGCCGCTGCTGCGCCCGCTTGGCACGCCCGCTCCAACTCAGGGGCCAGTGCCGGCCCGCCGCGGCGCGAGGCGCGAGGGTTGAGCGCTGGCCAAGTTTTACCGGCGCTGCTTCTCGGCCCATTTGCGACGCTAAGTTCGCCGACAAGGATCGCCCTCTGATCCGCCAGGCACGTCACCCGCGGACCCTCCGGCTCGGGCCTCTCAGCGACACCCCAACAGCAGCCGCAAAGGGGTGCGGTCGCCTCCGCGAGCAGGCATGGCCGCTCCCGACTTTGGTAGATGTCATGCGTGTCCGCAGCCGCCCGAGTGCTCCATCGCCTCCCCGTGCTCGCGGTCGGTCCCGCCCCTGGCGCCGCCACTTCTCCCCGACGGACGTGGCGGCGAGTTCGGCGCCCCTGGCGCAGGTGCGTTTTCCCGCGCGGCTCCGGGCGAGGGTCGCGGCTAGGCCGGCCCCGGCGGCGCCTTCGCCACCCGAGGCTGACGACGACGTTCGCTCCGAGCAGGGCGCCAGTGGCAGGGGGGGAGCGATCTTGAACCGCGCTCGCTGCAGTCAGATCGTTGCGACGTCTTCAACATCGCTCGTTTCGTCCGCAGCTTGGGTGTCAGCCAGCTTCTTCCCGAGCCAATCGCCCCGCGCACAGTGTTCTCGGACGGGCGCGTGGAAAAGCAGTTCCGGGGCGGGGGCCCCGATTGGCAACCGCGTCACATCGCGCTTTGCGGCCGACAGGAACGGCGCCAGCGGAAGCGGGGGTGGCGCCCCATGAGCGGCAAGAACAGCGTGGGCGACAAGGGCAACAATGGCGACCGCGCGCCCAAAGAGGCCACGTCGCTTGCTCAGTGCGCTTCAACATCCAAAAAGATAGGGCGCGGCGGCCTCAGGAGCAAATCGGCCCGCGACGCAGCTTATCCAGCAGCCGGGGCAGAATCGAAGAAGGCTGCCGCGCCGAAGGCGGGCGCGGCATTTTAACCACGCGGGGATGATGCGCCGCCCCCAGAAGCTGCGGAGAGCGGCGGAAAGAGCGGCCCCACGGACAAGGACTGAGTCTTGTTCGGCGAGGCGCGGTGCCAGCCAGCTGCGCGCCTTCAAGGGGCCCCATGTCCCCATGTTCCGCCTTTCCAGTCTACCAGTCTAAGGCAGCCTGGTTTCCAGACTGCGGCCTCTCGGACACGCTGTCCGCGGCGCGAGGTCTCCACATTCACAGCGCATGGCGGTCTGGTTGTTTCCTTATTTTGGCGTTTGTTTGGTGCCGTTCTCAAGAGTACGAGCGTACTCAAAGAACGCACTCCGCCCGCCCGGCGCGCATCCTGGATAGCGGCTGGGCATCCTGGACGGGTTTGTAAAGTGCGTGGGGCCGGACAGTTTGGCCTCCCCCTTTTCTTTGATCTTTCGGATTTCCAGCGCTGCTCGAACTCCCGCGCAATCCCGACCAAGAAAAGATGCGAGGTTGCCGCCTGGGCTCGGGTGCCCGCGCGATTCATCATGCTTGTTTGAGAAAGAACACCGTTCTACAATTGTATTGCGGCCGTGGTTTCCCTGCCGCTTCAACTAACCCCCGCCATTGTAATTACTGCTCCTCCTCCCCGTTTTCCTGGTCCTCTCCCTACTCTTTGCCCTCCTCTGTCTCGTCCTTTTCCTCCTCCCCTCCTTTCGGAGTGTGCCGCGGCGCTGTTTTCGGAGGCCTGCCTTGCTTTCCAGCGTCGCCAGTTCGCTTCCTCACTTTGTGTTTTTCCGCACGAGGGCTTTCAGAGTGTTTTCGAACACGAAACCATCTTCCTATATGTGGAGACGGGGAACCCGAGACCGCCCAGTCTGACAGCGGTCTTGCGGCGGTTTCGCTTGAGAAGGAATCGTGGCCCCTTTAATCGTACGCAAGAATGGATGGAATCCTAGACGTTACCATCCAGAACAACACCGGGCACCGCATTTCCGGTCTTTCTTGTTGTCAGAACCCCACCTCCCGAGTACGATTGTGACGCAAAATTGAACATCCAATCGCATTGCGTTTCCCAGAAACCCACGTTTTCACAACCCGATCTCCTGCTCTTCGGCGCGTACTGCTAATCGAGAGGTCAAGGGTCCAAGGGCCACGCATTGATTTCATCACGACGCTGGAGGTTTGAGTTCGGATGTGGACCAGGACGAGATTCTTGGAGGTTTCGTAGGGCATTGCGGTTGTTTGGAAGGCCCTGCGTGTGGACGGTTGTCTTCGGTTAAGTTTTTGGCGGGTTGAAAGGTTTCTTTAGATTTACAGGGTTTGGGTACTTGTTTGTTCAAACGACTTCGGAGGTTGGGTTGAATTTTCGAAGGGTTCCCTTTTCTGGAATTTCCGTTTCGTTGTGCCGATTTGTTCCGCATTCACTGTGCCTTTCGCCTCGTGTGTTCAACCGTCTGGGAAACGTTGACGAAGCCATCATTTGGATTCCGCTGCTGGTGTAAGATTCGCCCATCCACGGATGTTGCTTCGAAGGTGCCGCCCCCAGACCCCCCATTTCAATGTTGCGTTCGCGGCCGTGGTCGAGGTGCAAGCATCGGTATAAGAATGAACGCCCAACACTCCACCGCCAAAGCAACCCCGCTTTCAACATTGAAATTGATGGGGCACGGGGGTTCTGAACACAGCAGCGTGCTCCAATATGCCTGGTGATTTTGTTTCGCGCCAACGGCGGTGGGTCCTCTTCTGCCCCTGCCTCCCCTCCTACCTTCGTTTGCTGAACTACGCCATGATGCCCCACAGCAGGACAATGATGGCCCCCCTCAACATGACGCTCAATTGTCCGCACGAGGAGTCCATCTACAACATCGTCCCCCCGCCGCCCCAGATCCGGGACAGCGGGGCTGGGGGCGTCCCTGATGTTGCTTGCTCTTGTGCCAGGCCCTTCTCCTCCGATCCCCTCACGCACTCGTTACACCCCTCCGCCTCTCCCGTCCTCGATCCTATGTGTGCCCCTCCTTATCTTTCATATTCTGTTTTCCTGGTTATCATTCTCATTTGCTGCATCGCCTCGTTCTCATACTCCTCCTCCTCTTCTCCCGTTCCTCTTCTCGACGTTGCTGAGCCCCCACAGGGGTCAGGTGGAGTTACTGAACGAGGAGGAGGAGGAATAGGAGGAGAAGGAGCACGAAGGGGAGGAGGAGGAGGTGGCGGAGCATACTCCGGATTGGTCCCTTGTCGGGGTGGGGGCGGAGCTCCCCCCGTGCGCTTACGACACAGTCGAGTCGCTGGAATGAGGACAACGTTGATCTCGGGCGTCAGAGGGAAAAGGCATCGATGCCGCAACGCATTCAATGATACTACAATTTCTTGGGTACACCGGAGTCGACGCGAGAGCCGCAGACATCTTCAAGGGTATCTCAGCTTCTGTTTCACTCAAGATGTTCGCTGGCACCCTCGATGCGGACTCGGAGCCGGACGTTCTCAACGCATCCGTTGATGACATTTCTCTGGCCGTTCGTTTAAACACTACAGACACCTATTTAGATAGTTCTTTTTTCGACCATCCAGGCGGGGGCAAATATATCACGTCCAGGCATGGCAATACCCATACACCCAGGCAGGGTAAAGATACCTACGACCCGATCATTTCACCAAGTCCAACTCCACGATCTTCTACACGCGGTACTTTTTCACAGCCTGGAGCAATGAAACTTATTGTATACGGAACTTGGAATTTAAGAGGGCTTACAGATATCAGAACAGTTGAACTAACAAAACACATGGCGACTGATGGAATCGACGGTCTCTGCATTCAGGAGACCATGAAGCCAAACACAGAAGTGTATGTTGAACACGACTATCGAAAAGTTCTGTCTGGTGCACATTGCGATGGCAACACTTGGGCTGGGGTTGAATTCATTATTGCACCACGGCTGCGAAGATATACCAAGTCATACAATCAAGCTTCCGACAGGATTTGTGTCTTGAATTCGCGTGTGCACCTTCAGACGCTCGGCTTGCTGGGTGCTTATGCGCCCCACAACCAACGACCGCCGGAAGAACGCATCGAAATCTTTACCGCGCTGGATAAAGAGTTCGGCCTGCTACGCGAACTACGGCAAATTAGTACCGAGCGATTTCAATGCAAGAGTTGGCCGAGCACGTCCGGGTGAAGATGAAGTTACTGGTCTGCATGGATGGGGAAGGGAAGCCGTGCGCGAAGTGGAAAGACCAAACAGAGATTTACTCTTTTTTTGCGTTGGGAGCGGTTTGGTCATTGCCAACACGTTTATCGAACGAGACCGTGAACAGAGTAACGTTTATCGACAGGGAGGCCGGGGTTACTGCTCAGGCTCTGATTGACATGCTTACGCACAACATCTTAGATTTCTTAATGCGCGCGCCGGGTGCGCTGGACTCCTATCAGGTCGCTCGGGAGATTGCGTGGTGCAGCGCTCGCTACCGACCATTTCCTTGTTACCTGCACTACGGAGCGGGTGGCGTCCCCACCCACGCAACGAAGCCGCGCTCAGGTAGACACGGCTGCAATTGGATGACGAATGAGCCCATGAACATTTTACGGACACGGTTCTTCAGAACATCGAGCTGGTGTCAAAAGATGTGCGCGAGTTGTGGGATGATGCAACACATGCTGTGGAATGTGCAAAGAGCACGCTCCCGCACCGGGAATGTACAACACGACGGCCTTGGGTATCAAGCAGAATGTTGGACCTGATAGAGCAAACGAGCCAGGCAAGGTTACGCAACCATGCGGGAGAAGAAGAAGATAAGTTGTTGAACGAACTGCGGAAATCAGCGAAGCCCGACGAAACGGAATTGGTGGACAAGCGTATCGAAGGCGGGGATTGGGCATCTTTGAAGAACAGCATGCCAGCCGGAACCCCACAAACAAGGCATACTCCGCTATGTACGAGGCGAGCTTGTTGATAGCGAGGAGCAGGCGAACGCGATGGCCGAGTACTTGGAAAAGTACAATGGAAAGTCCGGTCTGCGGGAGTAGTGCATCGAGCGCCATTCGGAGGCGCCCTGCCCATCACCGACACCGGTCTTCCAGGCAAAGATGTTGGACTCCGTACTCCAGAATTAAAGCGGGAAGAAACCTCCGGACCATATGACATACCAGCTGAGTTTTGGAAGGCATTGGCCAAGGACAGCAAAGGCTCGATATAGATTGCTTCGCTGATCAACGCGTGTTGGAAGGAAACACATGTGCCGACGGAGTGGAGACACGCTGATCTCACGGCCATCTGCAAAAACAAAGGCCCAATCGACCAGTGCGACAACTGCCGCCCTATCAGCCGGGTGTGCGTTTTATCTACAAGTGAATGGCAACGCTATTGCTGGGGAGACTGCCGGACGCCCGGGCCGAGAGCAGACTAACAGCGACACAATCTGGTTTCAGAAGGCGGAGGGGTACGACCGATGCGTTTCATGATGTGCGCAGACGTCGAGTTATCTCACGCAGAACGGGGAGGGGCCGTAGCTATGCTTGCGTTGGACTCGAAGAAAACATTCGACCCGATCAACGTGACCGCTCTTTTGGACGCACTGCGGGTATTCGGTGTACCACCACACATGTTTCTCTTATTGATACGATGTACGACAACAGGCGTTTCGGCGTGGCAGACGGGCGACAGAAATCAAGCATCAGACACCAAGGATCGTGAATTGCGCAGGGTTGCCCTCTATCGCCGTTCCTCTTTGTCATGGTGGTGAGCCTGGTTGTGAAAAAAACGCAGAAGACAAACTGGACGAGGCATCGCTCAAAGCACTTGCTGCTGGGGATATTTTAATTCTGCTCTACGCCGATGACGCCATGTTGGTTGGGCGGCGCGCTGGTCTAACTACTGTCGCTTCTGGGCGCAATTGCAGAAGCAGGCGCAGCAATGGGGATGGAGCTCTGTTGGGATAAATTTCAGCTTATACAGACTGGCTGCGACTTGCAAATTTTGGCCCGAAATTTAAGCCTTATTCTGGCTACCGAACAATCAAAACCTGGGGGCAGCGATATACAGTTCCGGCAACATGAAGCAAGAGTTGCGTAGACGACTTGGGAGGGCTTTGGGTGCATTTCAAAACTACAAGGGTTTGGGAGCACGCGTCCATCAAGGTGGGCGAAAGCTAAACTCATCTGGGGCGCTGGTTACGACTAAAGCGGCTAAACAAGAGCGGCAGACGACGCTTGGAATGGTTCCCGACGAGGTTTCTGCGCCATATTCTGAAGTTTTCTTCATTTCTATATTTCGAAAGTGTCCAAGAGGCGCGTGCTACAACAGGCGGGGGCGACGTCGTACAGTGACCAACTATTCCATCGGAGCAGCGACGCGGACGTGCTCCGGAAATGAATTTTCCAAACAGGCAGCGCGAGACCGTTTAGTGAAATGTTTGCTTGGGGGCGCGGGCGCCTTAGGCGCGAGTGGGCGAAAAGCTTGTCTAACAAAGTCAGGGGCTGTTTAGAAGTTAGTAATGTTCTTCCAGTGCGTCGCAGACATTTGACGCTGGTTCTGGTTTGTTACGCATTTTGTTGACGAATGATGCGGCATTTCGCTTGCATCTAGTCGCCCACCTCTCTCCTCTCTCCTCCCTCCCCTGTGCTTTGGCTTCCCCGCAATCGCGTTATATTGTCCTGCGCCGTCTGCTTCGCAGTCGTGGGGCGCGCCGATCTTTTTCTGCGTCGCAGTCGTGTTGCGGCTTGCTCATTAGCGCCCGTCGCGGTGCCAATTTTCTCATTCGTCTGCCCGCGCGCCCGGCCGCAGTGCAACGCGTTGTCTCGCCCACGCGCGCGCGGGCGCATGGCTTCTTGACCCTGGGAGGTCTCTGTCGCCACTGCTGGATTCGCTTCAAACTTCTGGTCCGAAACATCTTGGGGGAGGTCTGGGAGTAGCGGTATTGCTGAGTAGCGCGTCACATGAAGCGTGCTAGCAATCGGGCGCAACATAGTTACAACTCAGGCAACTTACGCGGCAAGTTGCATTACCGAAGCGCGAAGCGCGTCAATCGAAAAACAATCGTTTGCAAAGTGGACGTGCGCTTCGTTATTGAATGCAACCATTTGACCAACACGTAAATTAGTTATAACTGTGTTGTGCCCCATGATCAACGCCGCGCGTGGAACCAATTACGCACGATTGGCTCTAGTTATGGCCTACGGCTTGAAATTCGCCAAACAGTTATGTTCAGTTACGTTTCAGTTACGTTTCAGTTGACCCAGTTGTTCACTTAAGTATAGGGGAGAAAACAATGAACGCATCCACGCCTTTTCTAATCCCCCCCAAAACCTTGCGCGTCGAGCTGGCTGCTGCGAGCGCAGAGGGCCGCTCGCGCACCCTCTCCTTCCTTGCTGATCGACATCGCGCCTTCGACAGGCGGCTGCATCACCGAGCACGCGGCGAGCAGATTGGAAATGCTTACAGTGTCGCCACCGCGCGTTTGAACACATTTCCTTCCTTCCACCCCCTCGCGGGATCCCGCGTGCGCGATGGGGGCGCAGGCGCGAGAGCGGAGATGTCCATCGCCAACATGTTTGGAAAAGCTTCTCCCCTCCTTTCCCCCCTCCAAGGCCTACTGCCGTTCCAGGCCCTATAGCTCTGGAGCAGCGGCGCCGCGCGTTGCGCGCGGCTACGCTGCCGGGAAAACGTTTATCGGGAGGGGGGGGGGGGGGGGGCAGGTCACAAATAAGCCCCAAGCAGAACCCAAGAAGGGCCCAAAAGGGCACCGAGGGCGTTGAGAGTTGATTCCAATGCGGGCGGCCCAAGAGAGTCATATGAACGGGCGCGGGGCCCATGAGGGCTTCGGGAACCCACCAGCCATCAGTTTCGAACAATAACTTGTCTGGTTGTCCGGTTGTCCGTGGCCATTTTTGGTTGTTGGACCA